GGAACCATTCATGTGGCGCAGGGATGATCGGAGGGAGGCAGAGGTCCAAGACGCCGATTATCGACATGCCGATAAATGCCCGTAGGGATCCCACAGGTCGAACGGCCACAAGAAGAAATTGGAGATCAAGTGATCTTCGGGGGTGCAGGGTATACGCCCGTCGGACATTCTTCCTCCACAACATGGATGGACATATTGCTAGCATGTGGAATGGAACGTAGAGCACATGAAGAAATCCTATCAGTGACACCATTTTGCTAAATTTCTTCCTCCCAAAAAAAACTGGGGAAGAGGGAGACATAACTCCCGAGGCCAGGGAATCCCCAAGAGGATAAACATGTTCTCCACCAAAGGTGCTAGTGCGGTGGGAAGGTGGACGAACGTCCCAAAGAGAACAAACATGTTCTCCATCAAAGAACACTAACCAGTGCGGTACGGCCTCAGGGCTTAAGCTGCCAGTGCGGTGAGAAGGTGGACGAACGTCCCAAAGAGGACAAACATGTTCTCCACCAAAGAACACTAACCGGTGTGGTATGGCCTCAGGGCTTAAGCTGCCAGTGCGGTGGGAATGTGGACGAACGTCCCAAAGAGGACAAACCTGTTCTCCATCAAAGAACACTAACCAGTGTGGTACGGTCTCAGGGCTTAAGCTGTCGGTGCGGTGGGAGGTGGACGAACGTATGACCAGGGAATCCCAAAGAGGATAAACGTGTTTCTTCATAAAAGAACACTAACTAGCGCAGTACGGCCTCAGGGCTTAAGCTGCCGATGCGGTGGGAAGGTGGACGAACGAAGACCAGGGAATCCCAAAGAGGATAAACCTGTTCTCCATCAAAGAATACTAACCAGTGCGGTACGGCCTGAAGGCTTAAGCTGCCGGTGCGATGGAAAGGCGGATGAACGAAGAGGGGAATCCCCAAGAGGATAAACTCGTTCCTCACCACCATGTAGGCCTAGCTCAGCTTGGCTTCAAGGGCCTAAGCTAAAAAGCAGGTACGACGACCGGATGACGGAACAAAGAACTGAGGAATCCCTAAGTGGATAAACCTGTTCCTCACCACCACGTAGGCCTAGCTTAGCTCAACTCCAAGGGCCTAAGCTAAAGAGCAGGTACGGCGAGCGGATGACAGAACAAAGAACAAGGGAGTCCCCAGAGACAAACAACGGAGAAGACCCTTCCTCTAGATGGGAAGACGTACGTCCCCAACAGGCTGCTAAGACATGTTCACATAGACGGTTGGGTACAGAGATCTAGTGAATAAGGCAAGACGTTTGGAGATCCAGAATACAACAAGCAACCATCGCGTCAGGAGCATCGACTAAATGCAGTACGACGGAAACAGCTTTACTTCTTCATGTCCCGCGCACGCTCGGAACATCATAAGTGGGAGACTTGTGTTGGGTTGACTGCCCAACAGGGATTGGCCCATCGACCCATTAAAGCCCACCAGACGTTCATCCCCTGAGCCCAGACCCTCTGGTGGAATATCCTGTAGATGGCCCCAAGGAAGAAAGGACGTTCATCCCCAGAGGGGACGTCCTGTCGTAGGATACCGGACCAGGGGGACAGATAGCTGCATTCCAAGGACAACCGTCAGGGGACGTACGTCAGGAGATACAGAGTGGCTCGCCGACTTTAATGCAGAAGATTTGGTGGTTGGGGTCAAGCCATCCACAACCCGCCACGTCAATGCATCCAACTACCCATTGGTGGTATAAATAGTACTACCTCCATCCCGCTATGATTGTCCCGTTTTACCTTATCGGTCCGTCCTACTAAGATTGTCCCATACCAAATTTGGTAAAGTTTGTGTGGCTCTAAATCATTCTTACTTTATCAATTCAATATCAACCGCATAAACCACTTGTCCCATTGTTAGCGGGATGGAGGGAGTAGCATTTATCCCATTGTAAGGGGTTGACAACTAAACACTCTAATAGTATAACATTGTAACAACTCGTAGCATAGCGAGGGGATGAACGACCTCACGCCTTTGTATCGAGATTATTGTATTAAGACTCCGTACTGGGCTTTTCTTGTTTGTTTCTACATCTACTTCTTTATTTCTTCCATTCGAAACCCTTGTGTTGTATGTTGGGCCTACGGGTTGACGAAATAAACCTCAAAAGGTCAAATAGCATTCCCAAAAAGATCTCAGAATCACTTAAACACACATCATGGGTAATAAACATGCATAACACTAGGGGTGGGCATAAAATCCGAACCGAAGCGGACCGTAATGGTACTGAACCGAATACCGGTTATTTAAACGATTCTATAGAATTTTATCCCGAACCGAAACCGTACCATTTCAAACGGGTACCAGACCGGTCCTAGATTGTGAGAACCCAAAAATACCGAATCGAATCGTTTAAAAATTATGCATTTGAGATTTTTTTATTTTTTCTAAACCAATAAATCTCTTTTATAGACAGACAACTTTATAGTCCAAATCAAGTATATATTCATGCATCCCTAAAATTATCCAAATGTGTGTGTTTAGATAAATATTTTCATTTTTTCCTTTTAGATAATTTATGTTATATGTGGTACATATTAAAAGAATGATAAAGTTTTAAAAATCATTAATGACTATTGATTTCTAGTAATTTAGTGTATCACTTTTTGTTGTATTATATTTGTGTACTTTTACAACTCGATTAATATGATTTGAACTTTAGCTCTTAAGAATTAAACTAGAACTAATATTCATCCTAGAATGTAACAGAGAACACGAATGTTATTTTTTTCTTTTATATTTAACAATTAGATGATATTGTTTTTATATTTTCACATGAATATAATAAAGATGATATGTATTTGGTGTATCATCATTTTGCTATATTTTTCTTTAATAATGCTGCACTATTTGAGTATTTGTGAATTTAAATACAAAAGTTTCAACCTCTTGAATCTTTCCTAATATTTAGTATGCACTTTGTTATATTTTTATCAACATTTCATGTGAATTGGACGGTGTGACGATATCTACTAATTGCAGTATTTGTCGAGATATTTTAACATGTGTTTGGCATTGTACCGAACCGTTTTGTACCATTCCAAAATGACATGGTACCAAATGGTTTCATCCCTAAAATTGGACCGTACTGAACTGTTAGAAACCTCACGGGGTACATTACGAGTTTCGCTAATTTACTAGACCGTTCCGAACCGCATCCACCCATACATAACACACATATGAGCTACACATTAGATATCAAAACCCTTTAAATAAGCATTAGTCAAACAACAATCCAAATCGGCCTCTCACAAACATGCAAGGTCAGGACAACACCCCCCTCAATCATCACAAGTCCATATAACATTAAAGACATGACGAGTAAGAGTTCAACAATGTTGTTGTCCTTAAGGAGTCCGTTCGTTGCCGTTGTCTTCTCCCATCGCCACCGCCGCTCTCATCTCTTTCTTCCTACGTCGGACCCGAGTACACTTCTTCTCCATCTTCTAAACCCATCCTGTCAGAACCATCATATGTATCCGACACGAGGTTAGGTTCATATTTCTTACGCCAACGCTAGTTCGGATCAGTTTTAGATGAGGTTGAGTGACCAAACCAAACTATGAATACTCTGAACAGAAGTTCAACGTGGTTTCCATTTGCATGTGAAGCTTGACCTTATAGGGCTCTAACATCAGTAGGCTCTTTTGATCGGGGAAGGTAGACCGGCTTAAGGTTTTTAGGCGGTGATGGTTTTCGATCCATTCCCGATGGAGATTAGTATAAGGATTGTGACGATGCAAGTGAGTAGGAGGATAGTGACAACGTAGGTGAGAAGAAGGAGATTGCCGGCGGTGGGGGTGATGAAAGACACAGAGACAAAGAATACAGAGGGAAGGTTCGAGAGAGAGAGAATGGAGCGTGGTGGGGGACATCATGCCGTTGAAGTGTAGTAGGGGGTGGCCTGAGAAGGGTAAATGGGATAGGGATAAAATTGACACTTCATATATAAAAGTTTCCTAAACCGGAAGTTTGAAGTAAAATTTGGACCCGCACAACAACAAAAGTGTGAAGTTTTTTTGGGACCGGAGGGAGTTTTTTTTTATCTTCATATGATTTTTATTGATTTTTTATGACATCAAATTTGTTTATCTTATCTTATTCTAATATGATACACTATTTTTTTCATAAAAATTGGTTTATGTAAGAAAGCGATTGTTATAGGGAAACTAAAATTTAACAATACTAATATCTCGTATACATAAAATAATAAATCGTGACTAAATCAATTTACAAGGTTTCTTTAAATAATTCAATACTTATTGATGGGACTCACTTTTACACAAAAGTTAAATTTTAGATTACTTTATGAGATTTAAAACACATTAGTTTTAAAATCTTATACTCCGTACTAACTTTAACATTTACCTTTGAGCTAAAAGCAAATAAGAATATGTTTGGTAACTAATATTTTCAGCTTACTAGTTTTGTGAGTCATACTTGTTTATCAAATATATAACTTTTGATTTTGGACGCTGAATTATATAAATATATACGAGTAATAATCAACATAAGTGTGTTTTAAGTTACTTTTGTGATTGAATTGACAGAAGTTACTATATAAGACCATTCTAGATATTTTCCATAAGATTTTTCTTTACTTATTATGAAAAAATATTTCAAAAATAATATTTCTACAAATCAGCGAATTAGTATAGTTGAACGATTCATCTATAATTCATCAGTTTAAACAAATTTCAATGTTATCAATTATTCTTTCCGTCCCAAATAGATTTGCAAAGTCAGCATTTTTTAGTCAACCAATGTTAAAGTTAAATCTCCCCATATTGATAATTAATTCAATGTTTAGTACAGTAATTAAAATTTACATATTCAAAAACTACTTCAAAATCTCTTCAAAGTTATAAACTACGTATTAGGATATAATTAAAAATTGAAATCCTAATTATTCGAACAAAATGAAACTATTTAACCACAAAAATTCAATTATGCAAATCAATTCAAGATGAAGGTAGTATGTACTAAAAATACTTTTTAAAATCTGCCAAATTAAATGTTTTAATGTTATTGGGCCAAAGTGCTTGATCCGGTCCGCTTAGAATAACCTAACCCTGCTTCTGCACGTATTTATACCAATTCATCCGATCTTCCATCTCAGGCCTACGGTCGGACGAAGTCTACATAGCGCCATTCGCATCCTCAGGTTAGTCGACCATACTGCATCTTGTTTTGCTTGTTCTGCTTGTTCTTGCATATCCATAAGGCCGGTTAGCCCAGGCAGTTGCCTAGGGCCTCTGATTTTTTGGAGGGCCTCATTTTTTTAATATACTCCGTAGAGTAGTACTCCGTAAGGATTTGGCCGGCCAAATCACACAGCAGTCCTCACGCTGTCGCCGGTCAACTGGTCAAGCTCCGCCCGATTTCCAATGGTTCAGTACTTCGATTGGCACTTCGATTGACTATTAAGTCATTTAGACAGTTAGTTTCTTTAACTCTTTCACTCTATTCTTAATTAGTTAATTCTTCCGTCCATCAAAGACTAAGGACTTTCAAAATTTGAACCTTTCTACATTAGTTTGTTAGTTTGTGGTAGACCATACGTAGTAGATGATTGTAGCCCAATGCGGTGGAATTGGCAGTTGCCTAACTATATTGTTGTCCAGATTTTTTTTCCATCATATGCCTTTTTTAATTAATAACTTAATAATGGTTTTAAGTATGTAATGATTGTTATTTACTAATTATTATTAATCGTTTTGCACTAATATTTTATATTTGTTTCCTAATAATCATTTAGTTTGTTGGAGATATATTTTATAATTATAACTGTAATAAAAGTTAATTTTTATTTGTTGATAATGATTTTTTATTAATTATATGTATAAATATGCTAAATATATGGATTAGCTATGTTATCTATTGAGAAAAGAATTGTTAGCTAGTTTTGATTGTAGTGATGGTCTTATTAGTTTTGCACTTCAAAAAGTAAGGAGAACTATCTATTTACTAGTTCACTTTTTGGAGCATTTTATTAGTTCTGCACTTCAAAATGCAAGGTCAACCTACACTTTTTAGAGCATTTTAGTATATGTTACATTTTTATAGAAATACTAGATTCTCACCCGTACGATGCATGGAAAAATATTTAATAAAATAATGAATTGTTTTTTCATGAACAATGAATAACAACATCAAATATTTATAAGATTATAATGTATGAAAAATGAAAAGAGTATATGCATTAGTTTCAAAAAGAGTAAGTGTTAATGTTTAGCGTTTGAAGAGCACACAATATGTAAACATTATAATTAAAAACTCTTAGAGAAGTCTACTCTCCGCTCGGCTTTTAAGAATATCTTTAATGCGTTCATCCTTCCCGATCTCAAGTATATCCTTATTTTTTATACATTATCAGTTTTTGGTTCAGTAAATGAATTATGTATTGCAAAGTGATATTATTGTACCGATGTCTCAAAATGCTACTATATAAGTTAAATTATTAATAATATTTATTTTAATGAAACTGTTTGAATAATGTAAAAATACATACCTAATTTATTTATATAAAATTTAGAATTTTAACTATGTTACCGGACTCGAATCGGTCCGAGCGGGTCAACCCAGAAACCAGCAACCTGCTTGAAATGCTGATCCTATTAGGTCCACACCAGCAAACCATGAAAACCTGCTAAAACCCGAAAACCTGAAATGTTTAGAAAAATATTGACCGTGTTTGTGATCGTTGATTGGGCTGACCCTTCGGGTCTGGGTTGACCCTTGACCCGGTCATTTGTTCGGGTCGCCAACTGGCCCGGTTTTGATAACATAGAATTTTACTGATGTAATATTGAAAAAATTTACAAAATATTTTTCTAATGTAATTATTACTAAAATTTACTAATAATTTTACTAATGTAATTCAGTAATTGATCCATATTTCAAATATTTTTGGGATCATTTTAACATTTGTAAAAAACCTACACATTTTCACTCGAGGATGCTCAACCCATGACCCCTAGCGTATGAGGGTAGCTGTCAAAAGTTCTTCGTTGAGCAGATAGAGCAATAATCTGATTATACCTTTTTCAATTTTGATTATATTCGAGACTACTATCGAGCAGAAATTCAGGCAGCCCCCTTTCATAAAATAATAAATAGGAAGGGAGGTGTTTATCTGTTCGTAGATCAAATCATTCTTTTACTCTTCATATTTGCTGAGAATTCCTATCTTCGAAGCTGGTCTAGTAAGCATTAGAACATTCACCAATATATTGTCTCTAAAGTTTCACACGTTTTGCGTACTTTGTTTAGTATTTTTGTTGGAGGAATGACGCTCTACAATTCAGAACTTGCATTAAACAAAAGGACAATTTCATAATGTTGTACTTACAATTTATGAGGTGGAGAATTTGCAATTTAGTAAAAACTAATTTTGGAAATACTACTCCGTATTAACGCATGACCTTGACTATGATCATTTTTTTATTTTATTGAACCTAATCTAGATGTTAACTGGACTTGAATCGATTTTCCAAAATAGACAAATCTGCCTTATATGTTTATTTTTAATGGTTGAACCTTCAACTTCATTTGTTGACCTATTACATGCAATATTGTCTAAGGCATTTTAAATTTCAAACCTTAGACAATATAATCTAATTACTAAAATGTCCTTACATTTACCTTTGAAACTATTACCTTTTGTTTAGCTATTGATGGTTTGTGTTTGAGAAACCCAATACCCCCAACATACTGTTAGAGAAGTATATAAAAATATGAAAGCTGTTAACTGATAAAATGGATTAAGTCTCACCAATGTGATGTTTGTCATGAATATCCGTTGTAGCATGAATACACCATCCCTGTGAATATTAGTGAATGGAAACCTTAGATGAACACTACTAAGAGGACATGAAATTCTATTTGCATCATTCTCAAAAAGAGCTTAAGCACATGATATACCTCTTTGTAATGGAAAAACTACTTGTAGTGTCCCATGCGCTCGAATTGCGGAAGAACTTAAAATGCTCCAACTCTCCCATTAAATGCCCCTGTTACGGTTGTGTGTGTTGTTGTGGTGGCTAGAATTCAACATGGAGGTATATATACTACGGAGTACAATTGATTACATAAGACAAATTACCAGTGGATAATAACATGTTACTCCATATTTAAATTTTGATGACATGAAATGTGAAAAGACATTACGTACTTTGTAGTAAAAGAAACTGTCAACTTTTGCGTCACCCTACCCGCAACCCTCGTTTACCCCCTGGATATCAAGGGTTGCAACACGTAACTTGTGATTTATTTCATTACCCAATGGGCATATCAAAATCAGCATTTAATGTCTGGCCCAAACAATATGGCAGTGTGTATTGCATAGTTTCAACCTACGGATATGGCTTGTTATACTTTGAGTCTTTGACTGTATTTGATGGGACCTTTTTGAGCGGGAATATGAAAGTTCAAACTTTTTCGCCTAGGGCCTCCTAAACGTTAGAGCTGGCCCTTGACTAGCTTACAGGGCGTTGATGAGCTTCGTTCTTTATCTCTCCTTTCATTTAACGATGGATAATTTTCTCAGTTAAGGAGTTGTAATAAGCTGTAATTTAATGACCAACCAATAAGCTTTTTTAGCCTTGAAGGATGATTCTCCTGGTCTTTACATTTTAGTACACATTTTATTAGTGTATTTGCTATGCATTATCTTGTTCCGCGCATTGGCCATGGAAAAGTAAAGTAACTGAATATGCTGGTTTTCATTCCGCCCATCTCATTTTTAGGTGAGAAGAAATGGTCAAGCATAACAATGTTGTGCCAAACGGGCACTTCAGGAAGCATTGGCAAAACTATGTCAAAACCTGGTTTAACCAACCTGCCAGAAAAACCAGGAGACGCAATGGTAATTTGCTACTGTTTACATATTGCGTGGGTGATATTTAGTTTCTATATGCAAGATTGCATCTTTCTATAACTCACATCTACTGGTATAATAATTAATTATGCAGCTAGACAAAAGAAAGCTGTTAAGATTTTCCCCAGACCCACTGCTGGTCCACTCCGTCCACTTGTCAATGGTCAGACACTGAAGTACAACATGAAAGTCAGAGCAGGAAGAGGGTTCTCACTTGAAGAGCTGAAAGTAATTCCTCAACTTCTTACCTGTGAAATCTAGGGTCTATGAGGATGATGTTAACCACTAGCTGGGTTCCAAATGTTATAATTCAGCATTAAAAAACTATTCAACAATGATGTGATTCTTAACACATGATGTGATTCTTAAGAGTATTTTTTGAAGTAGTGCTCAACTGACACCTAATGTTATTGGCTCACTGCATTGGTTAACATACTTCTGGGTAAATGGTTAGAATAACCATTTCTTCATGGAATTTGCTATTTGCTGGAGTAAGACCATGCCTAGGTGGCACTCCTTTTACTTTTGAGGTAGATTTAGAAATGGTTTATAATCTAGATTATAGTTTGTCCTTTGGAATGCATGCTATCAAATGTGTTATCTTATTTTTAAAACAAATATTTTCTTGAACCTCATTTAACCTCATCATATTTGTCTACAAAATGATTTTACATACAGTTGTACCTTTTATACCTTGTAAAAGCATTTTTTGTTGTATCTAAACTACATTGGTTCCTTGAAAACAACTCTTCAGCAAACTTCTTACAATCCAAATCTTGGACAATTATATACTCCATAGTATAGTATTACGGAGTTGTAGTTACAGTGGTGCACTTTCTTTTAAGCTTTTTCAAACACAGGTTGGTAGTTAGGATGTCATTGTAATGGCTAAGGCATGTATGGATTGTAGTGCTATGGGAATGAAAAAATTAAATGAGATGTTTAGTGATCCATTCTTAGTCCAGGTCATTTTTGGATTGTAGTGCTTATCATCTCTGTATTGTACTAGGCTGCTGGTATTCCCAAGAAGTTGGCCCCAACCATTGGTATTGCAGTGGATCATAGGCGAAGGAATAGATCTCTTGAAGGCCTGCAGACCAATGCCCAGAGGCTCAAGACCTACAAAGCCAAGCTGGTGATCTTTCCAAGGCGTTCTAACAAATTTAAGGCAAGCTTTTAATTTGTGTATATGAGACCTTTGTTTTTTGAGTTTTATATTTTTACATAAAATTTATTTTGAAAATAAGGGCGCTAGCAAAACATTAAACAAACCCTCATCTTTCATTGCAGGCTGGTGATTCAACTCCTGAGGAACTTGCAAATGCAACACAAGTCCAGGGTACTATTTTGCCTATTGTCCGGGAGAAGCCTACTGTTGAATTTGTCAAGGTTACTGAAGAGATGAAATCGTTTAGAGCTTATGACAAATTACGTCGTGAGCGTGTGAATAAGCGTCACCATGGTGCGCGCCTGAAGAGGGCAGCAGAGGCAGAAAAAGAAGAAAAGAAGTAATCAGTCCAGCTGATTAATTATTTACCGTTGTCTGTTTTGGATTTCACCCAAATCAACAGTTTTTGAAATTTTCACTGGTTGTCATTGAGGTTGTCTTTGTTGCAATCTAATCACAATTTGTTATTATAAGATGTTTTCAGTTGCTCTAGCAGTTTGACTGAGTTTATATTTTGTTGAATTAATGGCAAAAATATTACCTACAGGGTTTCAATAGGCAAAAGTATAACCATTTTTTAACTTGACAGAAAAGTGACCGGCTTTCCACTGCTCTGCATCTGGCTTTCCACTACTGCGCATCTTTCTACGCATCTTCTTTTCTATGCATTTCTTTGTTCACTTCTGCCATGGCTTCCCTCTCATCTAGGGATGGACTAAATCGGGCTGGCCGGGCCTGCTACTGTGTGGGCCCGGACTGGGTCCGGTTGGCTTGTTCTGGGCTTTTAGCCCGTTTGGGTGGGCCGGGCTCGGGCCCAGTTTTGGGCGAACTGGCCCGAGCGGTTTGGGCTAGGCTCGGGTCAATTTTTTTTTTCAAATTTTTTTTCTTTTCCTAGGGTAGGGCTGGGTGTTTTGGGGAGGTTTGGGGGTGGGTGGGGGGTCAAGGGATAACAAGAAAGCAAAAAAAAACATAGACATTGAACTAGGGATGGATTCGGTTCGGGCCACCCGGCCCGTGACCTGACACGGTACTGTGCGGGCCCGGGACCGGCCCGGTCGGGCGGTCCGGGACCGGGTATGGACCTGAACTGATGGGAAGGGGCGGGGGCGGGCTCGGTTCTGGATTTTTGTGACCCGGCCTGGCCGGGTCGGGCCCGGGCCCGGGTTCGGGTCTATTTTTTTTAAAAAAAAACTTTTTTTTGTTTGGTTTGGCTACTAGCCGTTGGGGCCTTGGGGGTGGGGCTGGGGACAACCCAAACGGCTATATAGCCGTTGGGTGGGGTAAAGGGGGGGTCCGGGGGGGTTGGCTGGTGGGGGTGGGGGGTGGGGGGTGGGGGGTGGGGGGTGGTGGGGGTAAAAAAACCTATAAATACTCCTAATCTTAAACATTTTTTCATATCTCTTCTCCAATTCTTCCTAAATCTTATTCTTAACTCTCTACTCTCTAATTCTCTTATTCTCCAATATATTATATTTATTATTTATATATCTACTTTATAGTTTATACTTAAGAAGTTAAGATCGAAAATCAAGATGCCATTATACGGTATAATTTTGATAAGCAGAAGGACCCGAAGACCGGGATGTGGTACGCAATTTGCAAATGGTGCGAGAAAAAATGTAACATGGGGGCTTCAGGCGGATTCGGGATGACAATCAAGCATATGAAGTCATGTGACAAAGCCGAAGGATCGGGAGGTGCGGGAAGTTCCGATTGATTACAATTTTCAAAATGTTTCTCTTAAAGTTTGTTTTAATTTTCAAATGTAGTTCCTATTTCATTTCAAATAAATGCAATTGAAGTTTGTTTTTAATACTCGTATAAAACTATAAACTATAAAATATAAATTATAAAAAAAATTAACCGGCCCGGCCCGAACCGGACCCGACCCGTGACCCGGGTGGCCCGGCCCGAACCGGACCCGTCCAACCCTCGGGCCGGTCCCGGGCCCACTTTTCTTGAACCGGCGGCCCGACCGGACCTAGGCCCGGCCCGGGCCCGATCCGGCCCGAATCCATCCCTACATTGAACTGTGCCTGTCCTGGCCCGGTTAGGCCCGGACCCGGTATCAATCTGGGATGGTTCCGGGCCCGAGTACTTGGGAAAAAAGCTCGGTCGAGCCCGGTCCGGAACCGGAACCGGCCCGGCCGGGTCCATCACTACTCATCCCTTCACGCAGCTGACCATCGCACCACCACATCCGCCAGCTTTTGGCGTTGCCTCCTCCACTGGCATCTGAAGTCGTCAAAATCAACATCTCCTCCACCTTCATTGCCACCACATTGCCGCCTTCATCTACATTCCTTTTCGGTTTTTCTTCTTCATATTTAATCTCTTCCAATCGATGAATCAATGACAAGATGGACGACCAAGGTAAAAGGAGACTGTTGTTGCCATCCTTGTTTCCAGATCTGAGGTGAGGTTCGGCGACGGCGGTGGCTGGAGCCTGTCAATGGCGGCTGCTAGGGTTTTGCGATGCAACAGCGGCTATGCTTCGGGCTTCGGAGATCGCGATGATGACTAAGTTAACAGACGGACGTAGGCCATGCTTTGAGGCTGGAGGGGTGGAATGGTGGATCGGGGTCGGGCCTGTGCAGATCTGGGATAGATCTGGCTTGGGGAGGGGTGGTTCGGGGGTTGGGTGGGTTCGTTGGAGCTGGAGCTGGAAGGGGGGGGGGGGGGTGGCTGGGGACAGTTCAGGAGGCTCGGATGGGGCTAGAGCTGTGTAGGGACTGGGGAGGGTGAGGTTGGGAGATGGCTGAGGTGAGGTAGGGACTGGGGTGATGCAGGGGAGGGGACTGAGTGAGGCAAGAGGGCTGGGGTCACACAAGGGAGGGGGCTAGGTGAGGCAGGGGCTTGGGTGTGTTGGTTGATAGCGGTGGTTGCAGGCGTTAGTCGGAGGCGGTGGCCGGCAGAAGTAATTGGGCGTTTCTGCGGTGGTAATTTCACTATTAGGCATGGAGGTTGGGGAGGCGGCAGTGGTGGTGTCGTTGGCGTGGCGGCCAAATTTGGTTGAAATTTACATTTCTGGCAGTTATAGTGACACCAACAACGACAACGACACCAACGGTGGAGATGTCATTGCGGAGGTGTCACTATGGCCAGAGATTGGGACAGAGATGATTAACGACATAGTGACACGTTTGACGGTGGCAAAGTGACACGTTTGACGGCGGCACAGTGACACGTTTGACGGAGACACAGTGACATGTTAACCGGCAGTAACATTCAAGTGACATAAAATTAGTGACATAAAAAAATAACAGTGACATAAAATATGGCAGAACTATGTTTTTCCAAATATATGACCTCTTTGGTCACATTTTTGTCCTTTTGTAAAAGTGGTCACATTTTTGGAAATTGACTCTAAAGTCTAAATTAGTAATATTCATGTAAAAAGCCCTATTTTGTTTCCTGTTCCCCATTATTGCAGCATGAACTTTGCTCAAACCGATACTGATGGAGTATATGGGCCTGAACCCCAGGACCCACATACTCAAGAGAACAGAAGGCACATCTGTCACCTAGTGGAACCCTCATCGGCCGAATGACCCTCATCGGCCGAAACGAAGTCAACCCAGAATATGATCCGGGAGCCAGGAGAACCGGGTGACTTCGTCGGCCGGGTCTTCGTCGGCCATGCACTCATCGGCCAGACCCTCGTCGGCCATAAAGGCCTCCCAGAACAAGATTTTGCAATTAATCATTTGTATACTTTACCATTTACTTTGTATTTGGCCCAATAGCGGTCCAGTTGTAAACGGCCCTCTCAAGCCCAAGACTTGAGGGCCCATCCCTAATTTTTCCTATAAATACTCCCTTTGGGAGTAGTTGTGGGGGTTCTGAAATTCATTAATACAGAGCAATTATACTACTTCTCTCTCTAGCTCTCACTTCTCTCTAGATTTACTCTATCAGATACAGTTTTTTATCTGTCATCGCATCAATTAATCTAGTAGAAGCTGGGCTAAACTTCAACCACGAATCACACAACAAATAAATTAAGTCTTCATCTTTATGGTAAACTAGTATATTCGTGTGATGCACGGGAATATTATTTCTAGAGTATAGTTTTAACACAGCACATTTATTATAGTTTTACAAAAAACAATGAAAATATTAGCAAACTTATTTCACAATTATACACAATCAAACTAGTCACATCGATCAGTACATTGGAATGCTATGTTTAAAAAACTGACCTGGACCGGCTGGGTTGAATCGGAACCCGGTGATCCGGACCAAAACCTGGTTCGGTTAGTCAAAAATCCGGAAATGGTAAAAAACCGGAAAACCTCGGCTGAGTTGGAAAAACCCGGTCCAGACCCGACAAACCCGAAAAATCCGATTTTGGCTTTTTTTTCCTAAAAAGTATTTTTTTTATTAAGTATTGTTCACCATTAAAAGTCCATTTCAATACCATACAAAGAAATGCAATATATTTATATATTACTTATTTGTTTAAGAATAAGAATTATATGAAATTATATAAAAATGTATAATTATTTTCAGAGATGTTTTTCGTCAATCGAGGAAGGAATATATAGGTTGTGGTCTTCATAAGCATGAGAACCGTACATCAGGGACAGAGTACATAGGTCGTGGTCTTCAGGAGCATGGACAGTCCAACTGTGTTCTAAGGGTGCCTGACGAGCACTTTGTCACGGTGCGTCAAATAAATTCAATACTAAACACTTATACGTAGTATAGCGTAGTAGAGTTCGTATCCACATGGAAATGAATAATTCTCTTTTTATGATACTTAGTAAATAAAAAGGGGGGATTTGGATTGAGTGATTTAATTTAATTAAGAACTAAGATGAACAACCTATATGTGTTTAATTCAAAGATAAAAAGGACTTGGCATTGCTACTTTCCACTTGTTGATATATTTTAGTCGATCATTGTTATATCTATAACTTATTCCCTCTCGAATACTCAATCGGGGAGTATATCCACTTCATCGAGGGTAGTTATTAACAACGACCATTCATTAATAACCCTTACTATTAATCAAATATAGAACAACGCTTTATACCGATTTAATAGTAGCATTTAATCTTTCTAACTCCTTGATGAAATCAATTGAGATTGATAACCTCAACACAAGCGGTTTCGGTTTAACCAACAAAATTAATCCCTCTTAAGTTTATTAACCACGACCGTGCATTAATAAACCGAAGTTACTTACTTGTGAAACCATCAACGATTAACCATCGGTTCGTTGATCGTTTCTAGTAATAATTAATATATGAAACAAAACTAGTTGATCCTTTAAGTAATGTTCAAAATATTAATATGAAATATGAGTAGGAATTAATTAATATTCAAGGAAGAATATTGTTAAAGAAGATGAATCCTACTATAATTAATATCAAGATGTTAACTAATTGTCATCTTAGCAACACTCCCCAACATTATTATAGAGGAAGAAAATACCATTCTAACTAATGTCGAGATGTTAACTAATTGTCATCTTAGCAACACTCCCCAACATTAATATAGAGATGGTATTAAGGAAAGAACTATTAATTAATATCCAAGGAAAGAAGTTAAGAAAATAACTCACAACTTTAATAATCAACAAGCTTCAAGAGCAACACCAAGAATGGAAGTTTAGCTCCTCATTCGGAGACTAAACATAGCTAGAAAAATATAAAGAAATGCTATTCTAAACTGAGCTTAAGAGTATGGAAGAAGGGATTGGATATCTTTTTGTGAAGGAAAGGAGGTGTATTTATAGGCTTTTGGGATGGGATTCGGGTACTCGATCGGGTATATACATGGTACCCGATCGAGTATGTGTGTATTACTCGATTCGAGGTATACCCGATCGGTTTCAGGCTTTTTTCCACAGGCATACCCGATCGGGTATATGTTTATACCCGGTCGAGTATGCTTAGAACGTGGTATTCAGACCATACTCGACCGATCTTCGTTTAAAACTCAAAGGCATACCCGATCAGGTATGTCGGTCTACCCAATCGGGTATGTCGGTCTACCCGATCGGGTATAGACATTTAATCGTGGCCGAAATCCTCCCGGCATGTTCCCTTGTCTTCGGATCTGATCCGATTTGAAGTTTCAACCTAGTACCCGATCGAGTATAGTTAATACTCGACCGAGTATAGACCAAAATTCAGGATCCTTCTTTTGTCTTCAAATTTTGCACCTTCTTTCCACTCTTTGGGTTCACCAACTGTACTTTGAGTGATCAAGACTTGTTTGAGCTCAGAATATATCTAATCTAAACTATTTACAAGAATTTAACAAACTAATCTATTACACCAAAAGTGTGTAATTTCCATAGTAAAGATCAAGCAAAACTAATTAAAAACACAAACATGCATATGGAAATTACAAACGTATGAACTCCCCCACACTTAAACCTTTACTCGTCTCGAGTAAGATCAAATGTTCACAAGTGTCAAGTTTCTTCAAAGTTTCCACAGTTTTAAAAAACATACAAACACAAAGACCACCAAGGATGACAAAAATGAGTTTTAAACTCAAATTACAAAGAACATCTTGGGTTTTATGGTCTTCTAGTGTTCATATTCTCTTCTCCTCCTCTCTTCTTCTTTGTCTTTGTTTTCTGAATCTTCTTATTCTTCAAAGGGATACAATGAGTGCCTGCAAAAACAAACATTTCTCTCATATCTCTCATTTTGCCTAGGAGCCTTTTCAGGTTTTCATCCTAGCTTCTCTTTTTATTTTCCATTCTCCCCAACTCACTCATTTTTTTTATAAGCCCTTTTTGCTTAGATTGCCCATTTTGTTGGGTTTTCAACCTGACTAGCATTTATTTTCTTTTATTTATTCTCTTTTTTTTTGTTTTTTTAAATAGCTCAAAAGAATTACATGCATAGTGCTAGGTGGAAATAAAAATTACATACCATGATGAGTCTCTCCCCCGCACTTGAATCAAGCACTGTCCGTCTGTCCCTAGTGCCCGCCTTCTCCGCCGTAGTAGCTCCCTTCGAAGCCGCTCCCCTGCCCACCATCTCCCATATATGTGTCCCCGCCATCTCCGTCGTCGTACCCTCCACCCCCGGAGCCAGATCCTCCAAAGTTACCCCAATGAGTGGGTTCATACCACGAGGGTGGTGGAGGGGGGTTTGCCATGGTATGAAAAGATCCCTCCTGTGCCATGTAAGAGTACATAGGTCCGTAGAACCTACGTTGGTCTTCTTCATACCGATGTCTATCGGCTTCCCTGAGCTCCTCCAATCGCTGAAAACCGGCCCTTTGCTCCTCCTGTATTTGATTGAGCCGGTTGTCCATAGCCGTGTAGTTTGCGTTCATTTGGGCGTACCCCGTGAGCAATTGTTGTTGACCCTCCAAAAGTTGTTGAAAGAAGTCGGGTGGTGGAGGGTTTTGGTTTTGTTCGGGGATGTCCTGGCCCATGTCTTGAAGGCTATGGAGTTGAGCATAGGGCTCGTAATCGGGTTGGTGTTGGGGAGGTTCTTGCTCCGGTTCCTGGAGATGTGGTGGAAGGGCGTGTGGTAAGAGGTAATGGCGCTCCTCTACTGCTTCTTTGTAGTGGAGTTTGGGGAGTTCTGGGTTGGGCAGGAGGAAGTATTTGAGGGGTTTGAGGTGTATGAGCCAGTTGTACATATTCTTTGGTCTTTCTCCACCATAAACTGTGTGAGAAAAAGCTGTACAGCCCGAGTGGCCCAACCAAGAAATGTTCATCAAACAGTAGTCGGTTATAGGAGAGTTATCCGTATACCTGAACTTGGTGGCTAAGTGCATAATCACCCCACCCACCACAATAGCGCCCTTGACTACACTTTCTTTTTTCAGATGTGCCCACATAAGATTACACAGGTTGAAATCCACGTGAACACGGAATAAGGCCACAGACATTAGGCATACATCCCCCATCCTAGTGTGATGGTTGTTGGGACGTCCAAGCAAACAATTGGCAAGGAATTTCAAGAATAGACGGAGGACGGGATGTTGGACATGACCAATATACATTTGGGAGGAGCTAAATTTAGTCTCTCCGATCATCTTTGTCCATAGGGTATGGCCGAAAGCGGTATTGTCGGATATGGATTTTTGGTAAGGGACCGGAATACCAAAATGTTCGGTGAACTCAAGTTTCGTGATGGAGTGGTTGTGGTTAAACAGACGAAACTTGAGTTTATCATCCCTAAAATCCGCTTCATCGTTCTCAAATTGCACCGAGCTTATGAATTCATAGATAATTTTTTCATTTGAGTGATATTGCATTTTGAATATCTTATCCATGCTCAACTCATGAAAAAATTTCTTAGTACTTTTGTACACTCCTAATTCATTGAGGGCATCATGGCATAAAAAGCGAGAGGGTTTTACTTGCCTTTCAATGGTGGACATGAAGCGGGTGCGGTGTTCGTTGTCGATGAAGATGATGTCCTCGTAGCCTGGGATGGATGCCCTAGTGTTGGAGCTCTGTCCCTTTTCCTTCCTTGGAGTCATTTTTGTGTGATTTTGGGCTTGAAAACCGAAAATTGAAGGTTGGGGTAGGGTTTTTATCGGACCTATTTAAACTGAGGGAGAATTGGATTGGTGGGTATGAGTGTGTAGAGGAAGATGAGGGGAGTGTTTTGGTGTTGAAATGGGGTGATTTGGTGAAGAAATGGAGGAGATATGGTAGAGAGAAGTGTTAAAAATGGAGGTTGGGGGAGAGAGGTTCGAATTTGGGTTTGGGGATTTGGGGAAGATGAAGTGTTTGGGGCGGATTTGGGGTTAAAACGCACGTATACCCGATCGAGTATGTGCTGTTACTCGGTCGGGTATGTCTGGAAAGTGGGGTTTTTGAGCAGCCTGCCTCCGGTACTCGATCGGGTATGTGTTGTTACCCGGTCGAGTATTGCTGGAAAATGAAGTTGTTGACTGGTCTGCCTCCGGTACCCGGTCGGGTATCATTCCATACTCGATCGGGTATGTGTTCTTTTCTACGTTTTTGAGGCATGTACTCGGTCGAGTGTGGGAATCAGTTTTCTTCAACTTTAGCCTTTCTGTACATACCCGACCGGGTGTATAGTGATACCCGATCGGGTATCCCTTATTTTTCAAAAATTGAATGCTTCCTCGATCGAGTAATGCCCGGTTCCCTTTCTTTTGGCCATACCCGACCGAGTATATGGTTGTACTCGATCGGGTATGTCCCCAGATGCTCCAAAACCTGCATTTTTTTCTTCTTTTCCTCCAAAAACCCGTGATTAGTTCTCTCTCTCACTGATCTCTCAAATAATTAGACAAAAAATGAATTATAAACACTTGAATTATTAAAAAATAAACTTGGGTTGCCTCCCAAGAAGCGCCTTAGTTAACGTCGTGGCACGACGTTATTCATTTTTTTCTAATTTTTTTAAGTGGGATCGTGAACATCCCCTTGATTCATTTTTTGTGGCCTTATTTAGCTATTTTTCAAATTTATTTTTCGGCCTTTTCCAGTAAGGCCAGGGTTTCTTTCTCATTACCACCTCCATCATAGGTGGATTTGGTTCACATTTTAACACATCCCTTCCTATCAAAGATGGCTTCTCGTGTTTATTTTTTCCTTCTTGAAAAAATCTGATTTTATCCGCTTCTTTGAAAAATACCGGTTCTTGTGGTTCAACAACATTTAAAGAACAAAGAGTTAGATTTTGCATTTGTTTTTTCGTAGAGTCCAAGATGTTGAATTCCACTTTTTGATCATCGAACTCTAAAGTTAATGAACCACTAGAAACGTCAATTTTCGTTTTTGCGGTCTTCATGAAGGGCCTACCCAGAAGGATGGGTGTTGTTTGGTCATCAGTTCCCATTTCAAGAACATAGAAGTCAACAGGAAAAACCATATTTTCTACTTCTACTAGCACATCTTCTACTACACCCTTCGGGTAAGTACTAGAATGATCCGCCAGTTGAATCACTACACCGGTTTGATGTAATGGGCCAAGTTGTAGAGATTTATAAACAGAATAGGGGATGACATTTATTGATGCCCCTAAATCCAACAAGGCCTTAGGAACACGTTCATTTGCAAGGGATAGTGAACATGCCTGGGTCGTTACATTTTTCGGGGAGTTTTCTCTGAAAAATGGCCGAGACGCGTTCACTAACTCTAATCTCTTGTTTCAATTTATCTTTTGTTTTTGTTTTGCATAATTCTTTTAAAAATTTAGCAAAACGAGGGACATTTTTCATTAAGTTAAGAAGCAGAATGTTTACCTCACATCTTGCGAAGGTTTCATAGATGCCGACATCTTTCTCTAGCTCCTTTGTCTCCCTCAGCGCCTCAGAAAACGGGATTTCTTGTTCATATGATGAGGGTGGGGGAAGCTTGGTTTCTGTGATCTCCTCCTCCGGTGGGACTACTTTTCCAGGGTCCACACCCTCAATCTCTTTATCGTTCTCTTCTACCTCTTTCAACGTCGCCCCACTTCTCAACATTATAACATTCACATGTTGTCTCGGGTTTTGATCCGTTTGAGATGGGAGTTTACCCGAGTCCTTTGTTTCAAGTCGGTTTATGACATTTGCAATTTGACTGACTTGGCTTTCCAAATTCTGAATGCTGGATTTGGTCTCATGCTGAAATCGAACCATGTTTTGTTGCATGGTTGAGACATTTGAGGTGAGTGCTCGGATCATGTCTTCGGTGGACATACTTGAGCTTGACGTTTGGCCTTGGTGATTTGGGAAAGTTGGTTGCAAGGGTTGACTTTGAGGGTTCCCATATCTCAAATTCGGGTGATCTCTCCACCCAGGATTGTAGGAGTTAGAGTGTGGATCATACCTCTTTTGGCCTTGAAATCCCAAAGCATTGACTTGCTCGGAATTCTCTTCTTGTAATGTTGGGAAGGAATCGGTGGGGTGCCCCTGTGTTGAGCATATGCCGCAGACCTTGATTTCTTGGTGTTTTGGATTTAAAAGGAAATCCTTTACCAAAGAAGTCAAGCCGGCCACTTGACTTTCCAACGAGATGTTGGATTCCGCTGCCATGACTCGTTTTGATGATGACCTCCCATTGTAGTGTCTAGAATTCTCGGCCAACTCTGAGATGAGATTCCTAGCTTGGGAAGGGGTTTTGTTGACAATTCCCCCTCCAGATGCTGCGTTCACCAGGCGTCTATCTTGCTCCGCAAGACCGTCATAGAAGTAGAGGATGAGGTCTTGCTCTGTGTAACTATGATATGGGCAACTAGCACACAATTTTTTAAAACGCTCCCAATACTCATATAATGTCTCATCATCTTTTTGCTCGATGTTGCTTATTTGTTTTTTCAAAGATGATGAGACGGATGCAGGGTAGTACCTTTCTAGGAAGCATTTTTTCATCGACGCCCATGTATCTATACTCCCTGAAGGGAGATAGAATAGCCAATCCTTAGCCGTGTCTTTGAGGGAGAATGGAAAGGCCCTCAACTTGATTTGTTCCTCGGTAACTCCATTTGGGCACATGCTTGTGCAAACAATATGGAATTCCGAGAGATGTTTGTTTGGGTCTTCGCCCCGTAGACCATGGAAGGATGACAGCAGATGAATGAGCCCAGATTTTAGCTCAAACGTATTACCCTCATCAAATGTAGGGAAGGTAATACACAGTGGTTGTTGGTTGAGGTTTGGAGTTGTGAGCTCCCTCAATGTTCTTGTTTCAAGAGCCATAGTGGTTGGCTCTTCGGTGTCGCTAGAACTAGAGCTAGCGGTGTATGAGTCTCTGGTAGATGATTCTTCCGAGTCGGTATTAGAAAATTTACTTTTCAACCGCTCGAAAGTTTGTTCTATTTCTGGGGTTTTGTGATATGTGATTTCGTTTATGGAACGATGTTTAACCATAAACTCCACTAAGCTCAGAAAATAGAAAAATAAACACTCTTTATATTTTTGTTTAATATATTTTTTTTTGATTTTTCTTGAAATGAAATAAAAGAAAAATTAATTGTCTTTCCCCGGCAACGGCGCCAAATTTGATGAGCACTTTGTCACGGTGCGTCAAAATAAATTCAATACTAAACACTTATACGTAGTATAGCGTAGTAGAGTTCGTATCCACAGGGAAAGGAATAATTCTCTTTTTATGATACTTAGTAAATAAAAAGGGGGGATTTGGATTGAGTGATTTGATTTAATTAAGAACTAAGATGAACAACCTATATGTGTTTAATTCAAAGATAAAAAGGACTTGGCATTGCTACTTTCCACTTGTTGATATATTTTAGTCGATCATTGTTATATCTATAACTTATTTCCTCTCGAATACTCAATCGGGGAGTATATCCACTTCATCGAGGGTAGTTATTAACAACGACCGTTCATTAATAACCCTTACTATTAATCAAATATAGAACAACGCCTTATACCGATTTAATAGTAGCATTTAATCTTTCTAACTCCTTGATGAAATCAATTGAGATTGATAACCTCAACACAAGCGGTTTCGGTTTAACCAACAAAATTAATCCCTCTTAAGTTTATTAACCACGACCGTGCATTAATAAACCGAAGTTACTTACTTGTGAAACCATCAACGATTAACCATCGGTTTGTTGATCGTTTCTAGTAATAATTAATATATGAAACAAAACTAGTTGATCCTTTAAGTAATGTTCAAAATATTAATATGAAATATGAGTAGGAATTAATTAATATTCAAGGAAGAATATTATTAAAGAAGATGAATCCTACTATAATTAATATCAAGATGTTAACTAATTGTCATCTTAGCAACACTCCCCAACATTAATATAGAGGAAGAAAATACCATTCTAACTAATGTCGAGATGTTAACTAATTGTCATCTTAGCAACACTCCCCAACATTAATATAGAGATGGTATTAAGGAAAGAACTATTAATTAATATTCAAGGAAAGAAGTTAAGAAAATAACTCACAACTTTAATAATCAACAAGCTTCAAGAGCAACACCAAGAATGAAAGTTTAGCTCCTCATTTGGAGACTAAACATAGCTAGAAAAATATAAAGAAATGCTATTCTAAACTGAGCTTAAGAGTATGGAAGAAGGGATTGGATATCTTTTTGTGAAGGAAAGGAGGTGTATTTATAGGCTTTTGGGATGTGATTCGGGTACTCGATCGGGTATATACATGGTACCCGATCGAGTATGTGTGTATTACTCGATTCGAGGTATACTCGATCGGTTTCAGGCTTTTTTCCACAGGCATACCCGATCGGGTATATGTTTATACCCGGTCGAGTATGCTTAGAAAGTGGTATTCGGACCATACTCGACCGATCTTCGTTTAAAACTCAAAGGCATACCCGATCGTGTATGTCGGTCTACCCGATCGGGTATAGACATTTAATCGTGGCCGAAATCCTCCCGGCATGTTCCCTTGTCTTCGGATCTGATCCGATTTGAAGTTTCAACCTAATACCCGATCGAGTATAGTTAATACTCGACCGAGTATAGACCAAAATTCAGGATCCTTCTTTTGTCTTCAAATTTTGCACCTTCTTTCCACTCTTTGGGTTCACCAACTGTACTTTGAGTGATCAAGACCTGTTTGAGCTCAGAATATATCTAATCTAAACTATTTACAAGAATTTAACAAACTAATCTATTACACCAAAAGTGTGTAATTTCCATAGTAAAGATCAAGCAAAACTAATTAAAAACACAAACATGCATATGGAAATTACAAACGTATCAGTGCCACAGTTTGTGCGTAAGGGGGAGGAAAATCAAGATCGGGGCTTGTTTATTGAAAGTAAACACTTCTCTTTCAATCTATCAAATTCATCAATTCACATTAGAGAGACTAATCATGGTGTTTTTTCTGAAATTCAATTGGATCTTGATGGAGCAATGTGGTTGAGTGAATCTTTGAATAAGCTTGTGCCCGGAAAACCACTAACTAACAAATCATGTACTATCATTTTTGATAGCAATCATTTTGGGGGATTTGTTAGAGTTTTTTCGGGTACTAATTCTTTGTTTATCCCAGAGGGCAAAAAAGGATTTGGCATGATTAGGTTTAAAGAAGGTCTTTCTCGAGCTATAAACCGACTACAGGAATCAACCCGTCCACGAGCACTAGAAACGACAACGGGAAATGTCTCATCAGGTGATTTTGCTAGGCATATCCTTCCCCTTTGTTTGGGTAGTGATAAATCACATCCTGATAAGTATGACTTTTCTATTTCGGGAGCTTTGCTACAAGTTGATATAGAAGACACAAATTCTTGTGACAAATCCATGGAGTTGATTACTGTTGAGAATAGTAGCACCCTGAACAAAATTCTGGACTTGATTCCCTTAAGGGCTTTTTCCAAAACATTATGACTAATGGAGTGAACTCGCTTTCTCTTTTTCTGATCAAAGAATTCGAAAAAACTCTTGTCTCTATTTTGGGTAAACGGGATGATATGAAGACATGTTCAAATGATGAAAAGGGAGGCACTGATGCGCAGGTGGCTTTGAAGGAAGATGCTCATGAGAAGTTAAAGACACCAGAGCCAACGATTGGTCTAACTAATTCTTCTTGGGCCAACTACTATGATCACGAAGCTTCTACTTTTGAGGGACTTTTTGGTGACCCTTTTAATACATACTCAGGGGATGAATTCCTTGGTCACATCTCGGAGAATGAGAAGAGAGTTCCTATTTCGACGTTTGAGGACCTTTGGGATTCTGATGAAAATCGGAATATTTGTGAAAAAGCTTCGTTTGTGACGAGAGAAAATTGTTTGCCTTCTGGGAATTTGAACGCTCAAACAAAAATGTACAGGAAGAAGAATCAATGATCACATCTTATGAGAACTAGATCTCAAACACGTGTGGGACTTTAAAGACTTGTGAGATCACTTGGGGTTATATAGGGATAAAGGACTTTGGGTTGGGTAATATTTGTATTTTTTTCTCGCTTTTTATTTTATTTTAATACTTTTCCCTAATGTACTCATTCTGGCTTTTTAAATAAAATTTCTTTTCTTGGAAAAAAATATAAAAATGTATAATACAAATAACAAATACGAAATAGCCGGAATGTAGAGTAAATGATATTATGAGATGATGTAGTGGTAAAATCTTCTCCAATTGAATTTATAGAAACATTTCTAATTGCATTTGATTTAGTTGTGGAATAAGTTGAGAAAAGAAGGTTAAAAAAACGAGTATGAAATAGTATGAAAATTGCATGATGATTTGTGAAACATGTTTCCAGATCAATAAACAGTGCATAATTTTGGTTACATAAGCCATAATTTTTATTGCTAGGTTCCCCAATTCTGCTTTGTTTATAACTTATATGTTTTTCAGGCCATCAGCTGTCATTAGGGAGAAATATAAAGAAAATGCACAAAATATCCAACCAAACAAGGAAGAAGAAGAAGAAAGCAGGAAACACGGGACCTGCTTGTAGCGATTCAACACATCCGGGTTGACAGATATGTTTAACATCATATTAAGGACCTGAGAAAATTAACTGATACCCATCTATCAACATTGATTTCAGTAACTAAAGATTGAATCTTTCAAATAAATTAGAACTGACCTCGATCTGGCCATTGGCAGCAGCTATATGCAAAGCAGAATGGCGATCATACAATGGTTTGGTGAACCAAACCCGTTTTGGCTATATGCAAAGCAGCATGGCATATTATGTTTTCAATACGTGTTTCAAGCTAATATGGTATGATTTTTAATGTAGACTATTCAAAAAACAATTATTTAAGAAATCAACTAAGCTCAAAATCAACAAGGTCTAAAGGGAGAACAAATCAACAGAAAACAATCAACAATTATGAATATGATACTCCGTATTATGAATATATGAACTAATCAACATATCAACTAAGCTTTTATCAACAACTATGAAGTAATCGATACAGGAGCTAAATAGGATTAAAGGAGTACCATAATTCCAGAACACTCAGAATGTGAGATGGACCGGACACTAATGCCAACTGAAGGAAGCATGGATAGAAGGCAACTACATTTCTCGATCACATATTCTAGGAGGAAAAGTTGATTTTTTTGTTTGTGGACAATGTTCATCAAGATCCCAGTACACTATCACTTCAAGGAGTTTATATAGAACGAAATTTGCTCCGCTGATCGGGAAATAATTTTATCCTAGTAACGATTCACTCCCGTAAGCCCAAAATTACAGATATGAAATAAAATTAAAGTGAATATTAGAGATATATACAATATAAGATATACATTGCAAAAGCTAAGAAGAGGGAAAATTAGTTTTGTAATGTACCAGATAGACGATGAGAGTGGCGATGACCATGTTTTTCGTATTGATTGATGTATAGCCCACCTGGTAGTATTGTTGTACCTCTTTTGTAGCTTCATTAGGCATGGTTTTTGAGATTGTAGTTGTGTTGCTTCTTTTTACTTGTGTAAATCCTTCATGGTTTCCCTCATCGAGATTTTCTATCATTTTCATTTAGCCCAGTGCCATTTTGCTTTATTCCATCATGATCTCAAGTCAAAAAACAATGAATCTTTGGCTCCACTGCAAATGATGGAAAATCTCATCGAGATTTTCTGTATGAACTGAAAAAGAAAAACTGAGCATTCGGGTGTCCTCAGAGATAGTTTCATCACAGGACAAAATTGGGACACGTGTAGTAGCTACACAGTCAAACGTTGGATCAGAGAGGTTCTCATCATTTCCAAGTGGGGTCTCTAACGTATCCTTGCCAGCATCACAGGTAACCAATTGATGACAACCTCAATTACCGCCTCGTGTAGGGTGGCCACCGGGTGTTGGTCCCGGTTATACTGGATACAGTCTAGAGGGGGGGGGGGGGGGGGTGAATAGACTGTATTGGTTTTTAGCTTTTTAAACTAAGTACCAGATTTTACAGAATAGCTTGTTCTGTTGACAGAACAGACTGGCAGCGGATGGGGTTCTGGTAGGGAGTTCTGTTGATTTAGCCTCAGAGAAGCAAAGGCAGTAGGCCTTCTGTTAACTCGTAGAACAAGTTCTGCTGAACACAGATACCAAGTCCAAAGAGTTAGACAGTTCTATCTAAGTGCAAATACTAAAGCAGTAAGTAAATGACACCAGGGATTTTTATAGTGGTTCAAGGAACAACTTGTTCCTCTAGTCCACTGTTCCACTAAGCTGTAAAAACTTCCGTTTACAAAGCCTTAGTCCTAGCACTTAAGAAGCTCTCCACGTCTTCTTCAAGTCTAGATGTCTCCTGGGATGCACTACCTGGCTTCCTTTAAGACTGGTCCTTTCACTGAGCTTCCTGGAAGTATCACCACTTCACTACTCCAGTTACTTGGACGTCCTTCTTGTAGCAAGAAGAGTTTCTGTTAACACAGGGGTTCCTCCAACTAGCTTCGTTACAAATGATTTGTATATGATGAGCTTGAAGAGTTGAAGAACACTTGGAACTTTGCTTGAGTTGGAAAAAGTATTTTTCCAACTTCTGCCTTCTCTTGTAGAAGATGATGAAGTGTTAATCTCAAGGAGGCTTTTTGCTTTTAGAGTTTGAATTTCTTGTATGAAGAGTTGTAGCAATGTGTAGCAAAAGTTGCAAAGTTATCCGGTTGTTCTTCGTAGTGTATCTTTTATACTGAGGTTGTCTTCCCGTTGGAGGAATAGGAGGACAACTGCATTAAATGAGCGATCAGTTGAATTGACTAGTAGAGCCCGGTAAAGTTGGCGGGTTACTATTTTGGGATAAAGTATTCCTGACATTGCGGCCAATCATCTGCAATTACTCTACGGAGCATGGGGTGCATTAAATGAGCATTTAATGCGCGCACTGTAGCTTTTCCGTTTCATACTCCTAGCCGTTGAAGGAATCTTTTAGTTGACTTCCCGGTTCTGTGGAATTCTTCTAAGTGTCAGTCCTTCTGGTGTCTTTAACTGAGAGTAGAACAGAGGAGGTCTGGAGCACTTCTGTTGAGAGTATATCCAATAGAGACCCAGAAGGGTTTCTGTCAGAGTAAAGACTAACAGAGACCCTGAGGTCTTCTATTCTGGAGCAGAGAACCAAAGGTCCTCTGTTTCAATAAAGCCTTAAGAGGGTCTTCTGCTCTTGGAGCCCTTCTACTCAGAAGGTCTTCTGCTCTGAAGGCATTCTGCCAAGTCGATTATACTAAGAACTTTACAAATGAAAATTCTAATACATTAAGTCTAAATAGGGGTACTCTAAAGTCCTAATTAATCTAGCATCATCAAAATCTAAATACAAATATTCCTTACAATTTCCCCCTTTTTGATGATGCCAAAACCCTTTAACTATTTTCAGAGAAGTGCCTTCACCATAAAGAAAGATTAAAGTTTAAAAACTTCCATTAAAATCTTGGTGGGCAACTTGGCATAGGAAAATAGTAAGAGTACGGTACATTCAGATAGCAGAATATAAATGAAATAAGCAAACACAAGCAGAAGGCAAAAAGGCAGGAATTGAGGAAAAGCACTTCAAAGTAAGAAGGCAGAGATGTGATTTTATTAGATAAGCTTTACAGAGTTAAATCTTACACATTCTCCAGATTAGCTGCTTGCAGAGCTTCTTCTTCCAATCTTTGAAGTCTGAGCAGTTCTTCATTGATCTCTGCTCTGATTTTGGAAAGGTTGCCAGACCTTTGATAAGATGCCCAAATTGGAGAAAGCTTGCAGTCCAAATAGTTGAGAACACCTTCATGTATTGTCTTCCCTGGGACAATGTTCTTCTTATACCATTCTTCAGCTTCTTCTAATGATCCCCCATACCTAACTCTCACAACACCATCTTTGTCCAGATAGAGGTGCTGTTGTTGGGTGGGAGTCATTTTGGCCTTCATCTCTTCAAATTGAGCTCTGCCAATTTTCTGAGAACCACCCAATCTCCATTCTGTGAAGTTAAATACTTTCTTCTTCTTTGTGCTTTTCTGTACTGGAGATGGGGGCCTAGGTATGCCTGCTGCTCTCTTCTTCTGTAGGGCAGCTTCAAAATAGGGAGCAAGATCTACTGTAGGCTCAGCAGAGGAGGATGCCCTAGGAGTTCTGTTGGATCGAGGCTTAGTCTGTTGAGGGTCCTCTTCCCCCTTTTTGGCATCATGCAGATCTTCTATTATCAGGCTTATTTTCTGAAACTCTGAGGCCTGAGTGGAGGCTATCTGCTCTAGGGCCTCTGGTAGAGTCTGAGTAACAGAGGTAAGGCCTTCAATGAGACCTTGCTGCTTCTGTATGGCAGAGAAGATGTCCTTGTTATTGGCTTCAAGCAGCACCATCTTCTGATATCTGTCTCTGTCAATAGATAGGAGAGCTTGAGCTTGTTCTTGATGAGCTCTGCACATTTGCTCAATAGAGGTCAGTTGCCTCTCTGTTTTGGCATCAGATTTCTTCAGAGCCTCAAGATGCGCTGAGATAGTGTGGATTGCCTGCCCTTGATCTAGGAGAGTCTGTTGAAAGAGAGAGAGTGTCTTGTGGATGCCTACCACTTCTGTTGACAGGACATCTGTTCTGGCAGAGGAGGAGGCTATAAAGTTGTTGAGTGTTCCAGTGAGGTTCTCAAAACGATCAGAGATGAACTGCATTCCCGAATTGAGATTGTCATTCACATGAGCAAGGTGCCCATAGTGTTTATCATTTATCTCTATCAGCTTGTTCATGCCTTGGAGGATCTGTCCACCAAAGTCTTCTGCAGATTCAACAAACTTGTTTAAGGGAATGTTATTCTGTTGTCCATCAGCCGGAGGCATCTCTAGACCTCTTCCCTTAGGCAAGGGGTGATGCTCTTGGACAGATGAGAGAGATTCTACAAGCAATTCATGTTCCAGTCGAGTCAGAGGAGGGGTCTTCTGTCTCTTTGATGTTGCTTTGTGAGATTTGCTGATCATGAATCCATCCATGTTAGATGAATCTTCATAAGATGAATAGATAGGGATTCTGTTGCGGACTATCTTCTTCTTCTTTCTGAGGGAGGGATTGGGGGCAGTAGAATCCCTAGAATACCCTTGGGGTGCAGAGATGGGGGAGACAGTTGTAGGGTCTGAATCTCTGAGAAACCATACAGGTTTAAGCTTCTCTGCAGGTTGGTTTGGGGGAGGTGATTCTGGAGGAGGGGTTTGATGTTCAGATTCTGAGGATGAAGAGGATATCTGTTGGGGTGAGGGGTTCTGGCGCTGGGGTGAAGATTGAATAGGTGAGGCATTCTGTTGAGGGGGAGATGGTGGAGGTGAAGGTGAGCGGTTTCTGAAAGGAACAATTGCTCTGCAGGGAGATGCAATTTTCTGTTTGGGTGATTGAGGAGGGGTGGGGGTTTTCTGTTTAGGTTGAGGGCTTTCTGGTGGAGGGGTTTCTGTGCTGTTAGGAGGTGAGGGGATGAGGGGTTCTGTTGAGATATTAACAGAAGGGGTTGGAGAGTTTACCTCAATGATGTTCTCCTCGAGCAAAGAAGTCCTCCACTCCTTGATATGCTCCATCATAGCTTGCCCTTCTGTCTTGGGTACAGAGGGCTCTCCTGGGTTGAAGTTGGGCTGCACAGAGTCAGTTGCCATCTTGGTGAACAGCCATTCTTCAAAGGCTTCAATTTCTCCATCTTCTAGAGGTTTGACAGCTTCCTCTAAGGGTGAAGAGATGAGAATAGCCTTTCCTTTGTAGCTTGCCTTTTTCTTCTCAAGGACAGAGTGAAGAAAGTTGAGGGCAAAGCATTTTGAGACATCATCAGTCCCAACCCAATTCAGGATGGCTTCTTCTTCTAGCTCATAATGATCAAAATACTGGATTATTTTGGAGAGGGGTCCCAGTCTCCATCTTCTCCATTCAAGGACCCGGGTAAACTGTCTGTCTAGCAAAGACAGATACCCATCTTTGACAGGACTAGGGTGCTCTGGTGTAGTTGGCACCCTGTTCTGTTCAGGAGATGCAGCAGAGGTGGGGATCTCTGGTTCCCCCTGAGTGTCTGCCACTTCCTCAGACACAGAGACCACATGTTTAGCAACCTTTTTCTTAGGTTTTGTGGTCCTTTTCCTCTTCTGTCCAGCCTTCATGGTTGGAGGAGCAACCGGTTCTGCCTTCTTGGTCTTCTTCTTCTTCTTCTTCTCAGCAGAAGGGGCTCCAGAGAGGGGTTTCTGCACCTTCTCTCCTTGTTTCCTCTTAGCCTCAAGCTGAAGCTGTCTCTTCAGCTCTGCCTTTATGGCTTTTTCCCTATTTGGAGAGGTAGTCAGGAAAATTACCTTGGTGTGATCCGAAGCTGAAGCCTTCCTCAAGTTTACCCCTTGTTTGAGGAGCACTTCTGAAATGAGCAGTCCATGCCCTAGCTTCCCAGAATAGAGGTTAGTCTTTGGGTTCTTCTTCTTGATCACCTCAATCAGGGACTTTACCATGACTTGTCCCCAATTGATGTTTACCCCATGATGCACTGCATAAAGGGCCTTTGCATTGGAAGTTGTGACATCATCTGTGGAGGTGTACTTGCACCATAAACATTTGTGGAAAATGTTAATGAGCAGCTCAAATTCCTTCTTGAGCAAGTTCTTCTTGATGTTGAC